CCCCGGCAGGCGCGCGCCCGCCTCCTGCTCCAGGCGGATCTGGTTCTGCAGCTGCTGCAGCTTCAGAGGGTCCCTGCGGAGAGAGGGGCGACAGGTGAGAGCGCTGCGGGGCGCGGGGCACGGAGCGGAGCGCGCCGCCCCTGCGCGCAGGCAGAGCGGCCCGCCGCCCACACCTCGTCTCGCCTCCCCGCGCCGCGATTCCCCCAGGCGGAGACCGCGAGGGCGCTTGCCGTGAGCTCTCCGCTTCTCGCTTGGAGCCAGTTTTCTCGCAAAAGAATTCATTCTACTAGAGCGAGAAAGTTACGCCTTAAACCCACTTGACAGGAGTAATTTTTGCAGATTTAGGTTAGTCTAGTTGGCCTCCTTCACTTCTGTCAACTCTGCAACCAGTGACTACCACGGGCTGATTTTTATCCTCTGAGTTTATTTCCTAAAAAGCCTTCACTTTATGACGAATTTTAAGTTGATGTACTGCTTACTTATAAGAACCTTAATACCCACTACTGTTACGTGCCACAGTTCAAACATATACAAACAAGGGACGTCTCTTTTTAGCACATAGGTGTCTAATATACAAGTTATTAAATTTATTTATTTTTATTTGGTTTTGGTCTTTTTGAGTAAGGGTTTCACTATGCAGCTCAGGCTGGCCTTGAACTCACCTTATAACCCAGGCTGGGCTCGAACTCAAAGTGATCTTCTTGCCTCAGCCTCCCAAACACTGGGATTACAGGCGTGCACCACCATGCCCAGCTTCATTTTATAATAATTTTGTAAATTTCCTAAAATTTTCCATTGAGAAGAGAGAGCTCAAACTTTAATTTTTAAAATAAGAGCGAGCAGCTTGTAGTGAGATAAAATGTCACTCTTTTACTTGAAAGCTTTCGTGTTTACAGTACATTGTACATCTAAGATGTTTTCCTTTACTCAGGCAAACCTAGGAACCAACGGCTGTCAAAAGAAAATGCAACAGAAGGTGGCACTGTAACAAGCAGATAAAACAGGAACACTCTTAGGAAAAGACAAAACTAATTACCTCCCTCGAAACTTTTAAAAATAAAACAAACCCCCAAATTTTCTTATGCCCTGACCTCTAATCTTGAAAAATAAATCAGAAACTCAAAGCAATAAAAGGAATTAAAACTGCTCATAAAAAGTCTAAGACTTAGGTCTGTTATCCAGTATCATTAGTTGTGAGTTCTAATCGCCTTCCTGTGCCTTTTGTCCCCTTCTGTCATTATCCAGTAAAATGGTTACACTTAAATCCATAAAAAGACAAAGACATCCTTCCCTGAGAACTGGACGGGATAAACAGGAGATGGTTCTGTGTTCTTAATCTGAACATCAAAGATGCTTAACAACAAAGGACGCTGTGGTGTTCTACTGAACTTAATAATTTAAGCATTTTAAAAGCAGCCATGCCACTGCTGGGCCCGCCACCGCCCGCAGCCCCACGTGTCTGTGCGGTTGGGGTCGACCGTCCAGCACACGTGCTCCTGACTCACGTACTTACCGCAGTCCAGGAACAGAACTCATCAAAAACCACCCACCAGCTCGAAACCCCGTCATCCTGCACGCTCATTCGAATCTCCAAACGCTCCTTCCTCATCTTCCCTTTATGATCCCTTTCACATTTCCTAACGGTTACAAAGTGCATCCTATTCCTGGACCCCTCTTCCACGCCCATCAACTGACTGCTGCACCTGCATGGGGAACCGTCCAGGTGGTTCTCTTCTAAACCACTGCCCCCCTGCTCTCTGCCAGCCTGGGCTCGCGGTGGCCGCCGCCACCGCCTCAGCTGCGTCTGATGGTATTTCCAGGGTGGCCTGGCATCAGCACACAGCCCCGCGGTATGATCTGCCGAGGCCGCGACAGACAGCCTGTAGTCGGCGCTGTAGCTGGTAGGAGGATGCCTCTGCCTCCCGCTTAGGGAATGGCTCCCAGGAAGCCAGTCTTAGAGAAGCCAGGACAAGAAAGCCAAGCTCTTCATGACATTGGTTCTGACCTTCTCCACGGGCGATACAGAGAACTAACCA